TCCTGGTCTTTTGGAAAGCTTGAACCAAAGATAATCTCTGGTTGGCACAGGTCTGAAAAAAACATATGCTGAAGAATTTGAAGGGCTGCATAGTTTTTGGTCAGAACCAGCAGGTATCTGCATTCCTCATCTTGACCAATGGCTGTGATGTTCTCTCTTACAAGCTCAATGGTACTGACATTCTCAAGTTTGGGTTTGATATTTAGTTTGCTGGTGAAAACTGCAACAGCATCCACATTATCCTTGCCACTGAAGTTCCTCAGCACAGCTGTCACAATCTGTTCTGCACTAGGCTTCTTCCTCTGTTCTGAAGTTTGGGCAACAGCAAATATCATCTTTATCAAGCTGTAATAGTCTCGCAAACCAAAGAAACCTCTGCCTTGTTCGTTACAGATGTTCAGGTAAGCGCAGGCGAATGGCTGAAAGTACTCTCTTACCCTCTCAAGGATCATGGGATTCGAGGAACATATTCCTTCAGCAGTATTAATCAATTCCGTTTGATCAGGATCACTACGTGAAACAAATATCCCTCTATTCATCTTGGCTGGATCCAAAGCCCAGTTAGAGATACCGATGAATCCAACCTTCTTGTGCGGTACTGGCTGGTCATCTATGCATCCCTCTTCCAACAAAGGATGTAAAGTTTTCAGGGGCATTTTCTGGGAATCTTCAGCCAAGCCTATCTCATCTAGCACTACCACCGAGACATACTCTGATAGATTCTTGTCTTTCTGAAAACGGGCAGACTGCTTGAATGTATTGATGATCCCATCTGGTGTAGAGTGAGGACTGCACTGGAAGGAAACAAGATGAATTTGCTTTAGCTTTTTAAACAAATCCGAATGAGCTGCTTGGCCTTGCATGCCATCTGCAACTAGAGTTTTTGACAAAGATTTAGAGCTTCCAGGTTTTCCAACCAAAAAGAGAGGTATTCTCAGTTCAATGCAAATAACCATCATGAAGACATTTTCCTTCAAGGCATTGTTTCGGGCAATAGTTTCACCCAATGGAACTCCACTCAGGAAAAGATCCTGAATAAGTGAGATCTCCTGCATCACTTTCATTGGGCTGTAGGTCTCTGGAAGGTGTCTGCAAATGTTTTCTCTGTATTTCTGTTTATCCTCCAAGCAGGCATGGTAACAGACACCAACAGCCATAATTAATGACCATAGAATTGGGTTTGTTATTTCAGTATCCCTCTGATGTTGATCATTTGTT